ATTATCCATAATTTATCCCTAATAATCTAGCAAAGAAGATAAAGACTAGCTTTGTATAGTAGTCAATATATTGGATTGGACCGTGTTAGATGCGATTGAACTCTTTATATGAATGATAAAGGCGTTCTTAGACTCAAGCCTCAAAGGAATGAGATATTTTSCTAATTTTTTTCCATTGAGTTTTATGAAGTAGTTTGTGAACGTCAATGCGAAATATTCTTATTAAGGCTCAAAACGAAGAAAAGATAAAAACGTATGTAGAAATTGAACACTTACTGAGTAGAAATCCTGGCGAGTCTTGGAGTCGTTTGTCGTTCAGTTTTCTCTTCAGTATTCTACACCAGCTTATATAGACGTCAAACTAGAATAACTTGTCAGGTAAAATTGGATTCTATAGATACGTAAAGAGAAAGAATTGTCTAATTAGCCAAGTGGTTCTAGACAAAACCTTTTTGTGAGTGTGCCGGTGTGGCGGATGTGAATCCCAAAATGTACGCGCGTGGCTTGCACTCGCTGGAGGACGCAGCGAAAAATAAATAAAATAACAATAAAGGAGGTACAAAGCTGTAAGAAAAATTATAAAAAAGGATTTTTAAAAATAATTCTAACATCAACATTTATTTTTCTTAAGGCTGAATTTCTCTAGCACTTCTTTGATATTTCTTTTTTTATCTCTCTCTCTCTCGATTAATACTCCCCTTCTGTCGGTATTCATTCAGCTGCTTTAATATCCCTTATTCAGGCTCTGTTGATTAATGTCAATTATACCCTTAACTTAAGTATTTTTTGAATATGCTGTAGATTCAAGTTGACGACCACTTATACCATATGATGTTTGCCAACACACGCGTATGAAATTTACTAAAAATAGACAAATGAATCATGTTCAAAGGCTTCGCAAACCAAGTGTTGTTGATGAAATCGTGACTTGGAAAAGAGTTTAAATTCGCGTGATTCGGACCACTTTTTGTTAATCTTTTGTTGCGTGATGCTCTATACTTTCAAGACTGATTCAAAAGAAAGAAAGAAAGAAAGAAAGAAAGAAAGAAAGAAAGAAAGAAAGAAAGAAAGAAAGAAAGAAAGAAAGAA